TTGGCGGTCGTGAGAGGAGTGGATTATGCGGTACAGTATGTGATCATCTGCATACCGAAGAATGTTAGATTGTATGTCGACCGCAAGGTCGTTGATGTGGAGGTTGAAGGGAAGTGGCCCTATAACAGAGCCCTGAGGTACACCCACTCTGACATTGTGCCATTGCCTAAAGGCACCGTGGAAGTTAACTCGCTGACGGCGATTACCCAGGAAGTTCGATACCCATTTAAGGGTTGCTCCGGATATCCCAAAGCCTGGGAGCTTGGTAAGGATGTGGTCATGGTTCACACTGTCGAAGGCCTTCGAGAAGTCTATGGACAGAACATCTGCTTCCTTCGAGCTGTCCAGGGCACTGCTCAGGTCGTGGTGCAGGAGAGAGAGCAGAGTTTCGCAACTCCGCCCCTTCCTAAAGCCATGTTGAGAGCTGCATAAAAGGTTGTTGACTTCTAGGTGCGTGGATATTTTACTACAAATTAAGGTTTCAAATATTTTGCAGAGGATGCAGGTGAGGCTTATTGGCCGGTAACTTTCGAGAGAGTTCAGTGGTTTCCCCGTTCCTTTGTGGACAGGGGTCACATGCGCTAGCTTCCAGACATCAGGGATGAGTGCCCTGGAAAAGGAGTAGTTGTACAGGTCTGCCAATGGGGACGAGAATGCCGCAGCGCAGGCCTTCAGCAGGAAGGGGGGAATGCCATCTGGGCCAGGGGAGGCGCCAGGTTTCAGCTGGGAGATGGCAGCCGCAACGTCCTCGGTGGTAACGGGTGAAGGGACGAACACAGGAATTGACTCTGTGCGGTTGTGCTTCTCAGCAGGGGGCTTCCAACTTGGGGAGGAGGGCAGGCGTTGTTAAACGCGGACACCGCATCGCTGAAGTGTTGGCCAAAGGAGTTGGCGATGACCTGAGCATTGTCAGTGCATGTACCTCCTATTTAAAACTGGGTAGCAACACTGTTACGTCGTAATGATCTGTAGAACTGCCAGAAACGTCTGGGGCATGTTCTTGCCTGGCTTGCCATGTCGCAGAGGTAATTCCGATAGGATACTCTTATCTCCCTTTTCAGCTGTCTCAAGAGATCCTTGTATGCCGCCCAATGAGTGGCATCCTGTGTCTTTGAGGCCCTTTTGAAGAAGCGCCTAGTCTTGCTTGATAGCTGCTTGATGAGTCCAGTTATCCATGGTTTGCCTTTCTTGTGTTTGGAAGAGATCATAGTATGCGTAGAGTCTCTGCATGCAGCGCAGAACATATCATAGAATAGGTCCCGTGGGTTGTAGTCTGTCAGAAAGTCCGTGCAGAGAAACCAAGGAGCCAGGGCAACAGAGCGTTCTAGTGAGTCACGTTCGTCCTTGTAAAACAAGATTGCCCGCTTTGAGATCACTCGTTTTCTTGTGCAGCTGAAGTTCCAGGAGGAGGAGATTCCAATGTGGTCAGAGTTAGATAGCGGGGGAGTGTCAGACGCAGATAGTAATTGGGCAGGATTCCGGCAGAGAAATAGGTCTAGGGTGACCCAAAACATTGCCACGGACGTGCGTTGGAAAGCGGACAATCTGTGTGAGGTTCGCATACTGCATCCAGTCCAGGAACTTGGCCTCTGTCTCGTTTGTTGGCATCGGATCAGCAGAATTCCAGTTGATGTGGAGGTTGAAGTCCCCAGTTAACAGAATGTTCATGTGTCCTTCTTTACGGGAGCTGATCCGATCGAAAACTGCGCACAGCTCAGCGAAGACATCATGACCTGTATTGGGGGCCCTGTACAGTGAACGAGAAGCAGTTTTCCGCCTCGGCAGTTAAGTTCGGTCCAAACCAGCTCGGAGTTGGGAGCCTCTAAGTCCGCACGGCGCACAGGGGAGAATTTACGTTTTACGGCGACCAGGAGGCCGCCTCCACGTCCACTTCGGCCTCTTCTGAACACGGCGAACTCGGGGCCAAATATTTCATGGTCCGGAACAGAGTCACTAAGCCACGTTTCGCACACGCACAATGCATCGGGTGAATTACAGGCCAGGTCAGATTTGAGTTCAGGTACCTTGCTCAGGAGACTTCTTGCGTTGTAGCACTGCACGTGGAAGGGCCCAGGGTTGCAGTGGATATCGCCGGAGAGTATCAATAGTCCAAGTAGCATAATTTTCGTGGTACTGACGGAGTGGCTGGTTTTAGGCCTAGTGGGCCGAGGAAGCAGGCGTTTACCGTCCCGGACTGTTGATTCGGGCGAGACCCGCTGTTCCGCAGCAATCACTTCGGAGACATTCATTCTTTGGCTTTGACAGAGAACGACGAAAAAGCACAACATGGTGAAAAGAGCAGGAGTCCAGCTCAGCTGCCCTGATCTGCGACCGGCTGACGCCATGACACTTCTTCTTCGATAAAAGTACGCCGAATTCATTTTTCCAAATTCGGTCTTAACTAAAAAAGTTCAGTATTTTCGAGGGCGTTTGGAGTAATGCGTGCGTGCGTGGGGGGGAGGGGGGGGAGGAGAAGGTGACTCTTACTAGGGTTTCGTGTTTTCGGATTAATTCGAAAAACACCCGCCGGTAAAAGTTTCGTTTATTCGGATTTATCTGATAAACTCTGAATTTCAATGTGCCAATCCCCTTCCCCCACCCACACACACACACACATATATTTTACAATTAATGGTATAATCAACGCGTAGAGTAAATGATCCTGGGAAAATGCCGCCACACATATCTTTCAAATTTCGGCCAGGGCAGCAGGTCATTGTACTATCGGGTCAAGACAAAAGTCTCTGTTCATGTTTCCGGTTTGGGTCATACCATTTGCGCTATTTGTGCCTGAGAGGAAGGAAAGGTTGTGTTTTTGTAACTGTGAATGCTATGGACCATAGAAATTACATAAAGTGGGAAAGAGGACAGTTGAAACTTCTCTATTTCATCCTTTTCCACTCTACCTCTTGCGGCCGCGCGGTAGGTTAATGGAATAGCATGGAATGAATACAGGCTTCCCAGCGACTACCTCCACTAGGTTATTGATTTTAAGGGTATCGACATTTATCGAAATAACACTTGTGTGCCACGCTTGTTCTTGGACAAATTAGTATTGCCAGTAGTAATGGCACCAACGCGAAATCCAACCGAAGAAAACATTAATTGTTACAATCACGTTTTTTTTTTCTTTTTTGTTCAGCAGACGTTTACATTTGGATATTATTTGTTTATTTTTAATAAGAAACATTACGAAATTGAGCTCCGAATTTCAAAGAATTCTGAATAAAAAAATAAACTCCGATGAACTCCGAATTTTCGGCAAAAACTAAACTCAGAAAAACACCCTCTGAACTTGACGAAAACAAAACTCCGAAAACACGGAACCCTACTCATTACTGACCATATCACCACTTCCTCTCGCAGTTTTCAGCTTTTCTGCGAGTTCGGTTCAACTTTCAACAAGAGCTCCGGAGGCGCAGGGGTCTTCAGGACGAAATCTGGGTTTTTCACCTGATAAGGATTTGTGCCGAATTCTTTGTTAAAAGAAGGGAGTTTAATCGTGAAATCAAACAACGGAAATCAAGAGCGTCCGTCAATGCCGTGCATTATTTAACACCCCTAGCTTCCGTCTACTAGAGGAGGGCATAAATACGAGTGTTTTATTGTCATTTCTGCCGTCGGCGCGAATATATCACCGTTCGCAATCGCGAAAAAGGGGGAAAACGCACCGAGTACATTGCTTGCTAATTTCTTCATTTTGATATTTGCCTCTCCGACCGAAGTGGTACTGAAGCTCATGCGCGTCCTGTGTACAAATACGAGCACACGACGATAATGTCAGATCACGATAAGGCCCCAGTGCAGAACTGGTCGTGTCGGCTGCCAAAAATGGCAACAAATAAGAAGACTAGTACCTGGTACTCAATAGACAATTTACACAAATGCTTTTAATTATTGCATTTTCGTTAGTATACTCGTTTTCGTCAAGAAACCTAATATAACTGAGAAGTTTATGAGTCTATAAATATTCACCACAATAAACCGAAAACTTTTGTTTGGAATAAAAACCAAAAAAAGTGCGCGGAATTTTAAATAATACAAACCGAAAACGCCGAACCCTATAGCTATATTTTCAATGTCATGTTTTGATGCTGCGCTGTTTTGTTGCTGTGCTGTTTTTACGCTGTGCTGTTTTGTCGCGTGCTATTTTGACGCGTGCTGTTTTGACGCCGCGCTGTTTTGGCACGTGCTCTTGTGTCGCTGTGCCGTTTTGACGCTGTGCTGTTTTGTCGCGTGCTATTTTGACGCGTGCTGTTTTGTCGCTGTGCTGTTTTGACGCTGTGCTGCTGCTGAGTTGATACCAAAGTTCAGACGTTTGTACCTGAAGAGTCCGGCGTGTGTCGAGAAAGTTGTGATTGGCCGGGAGTCTTCGTGCAACTCTAGCTGGTGGTACCCTTCCTTGAGGTCGAGTTTGGAGAACACCGTTGCTCCGTTGAGTGCTGTGAGGATGTCGTCAACTGTTGGCGTGACGTGCCGCTCGCGGCAGATCGCCTTGTTGGCGCATCGCATGTCTACGCACATCCGCAAAGCTTCCTGGTCGTGTGGCTCGGGCACTAGAACAACCGGAGACACCCACGGTGTTGGCCCTTCTGTCTTCTCAATGATGTCGAGTGCTAGCAGTCTACTCAGCTCTGCCTCTAGTGGTTTCCTCATGGCAAAAGGGATTCGACGGTGTGGTTGTGCGACTGGTGGCACACTGTCATCCACATGCAGGCGTACGTGTTGGTCCCGAAGGCATCCGACTCCCGTGAAAGGCTGGGGGTACTGTTGCTGAATATTGTTGTAGGTGATGTGGACTAAACCCAGACGTAAGGCTGCAGAAAAACTCAGAAGGGCTGGATGGTCACCGTTGATAACGAAGATTTCATCTGTGCCTTCCTGAGCTTTGTATTTCATGGTCACGGACAGTTTGCCAAGCACTGGCAGTGGGGATGTTGCACCGTATGCGAAACGTTTTACACCTGTATGCTCCAAGCTGTGGCGGAGCCCGAGTTTTGTCAGGTCACTTGATCCCATCGTTGACACAGTAGCTCTTGTATCGAGGGTGAATTCACTTCCACAATCACACGCGGTGACCTCGAGATGTCGCGTGAAGTGTCAGTTGCGAAAGTGTACTCGTCGCTGTCCGAGCCAGCGTTCTTGCGTATAGCACGGGCGGTGACTGGAGCCGACCGATATACTTTGGAGAAGTGGCCAACCTTCTGGCATGAGCGGCAGGACTGGCCTCTGGCTGGGCAGCTGGATCTACCACCGTCGTGCGGCCACGATCCTCCACAGTTGTAGCGTGATGCGTCCGGGTGTTGATGACGTGAATTCTCACGAGGCTGTGATGAGGTTTTCTGGTGGCGCTTGGACGGGTGGTGGTGCGAAGACAGCTTGGCGTTCGCTGCTATCGCTGCCACTGTGTTCTCGCTGGGCTGCTGCTGGCTTCCTTGTTCCATCAAGGTGACGTTGTGCTCCACTTCCTCAAATAGCCTGCCCTGTTTCAGGATTCCCTCCAAATCGAGGTCATGCTGCATGACATAGTGGCTAAGGCGTGACGATGTTGTAGACAGCAGGATCTGAGTTTTGATTTCCGTGTCTGGATCGGCGAAGGCGCAGTGTCGCGCTAGCTGTCGTAGTTTGGCGTAAAATGAGTCAAGGGACTCTCCTTCTACTTGCTTGGCTTGCCGGAAACGGTAGACCTCGAAGGCTGTGTTGACCCTTGGAGCGAAGTAGGTGGCCAGCTTCTTTCGTGCTGCGGTGTAGAGCGGGCTTTCGCCAGCGGTGCTTGAGACAGCTGACGCTGTTGCCGCCGGTGCGGTCGCAGGAGGTTCGAAAAGCGCGCAGTAGATGTCATGGACTTCCTCCCCGATGTAGTGTAGCAGCAAAGCGGTCTTATGGGCGTCGCTTGTGATTCCGCAGGCCACCACGAAGTTCTCGATGCGTCTCACCCACTTCAACCACTCGGTGCCGACGTGATTGGCGTAAAAGGCACGCGCGTTGAAGAAGGAAAACGTGGGGAGAATGCTGTGCTCCATCCCGTCAAACAAGACGTCCGTTGTTAGGTGTGAAGGGATCCGTGCGGTTCAAAATCGCTGCTGGACGGTTCTTGCGTTGTTCTAACGCATCCTTGTCGCCATTGTAATGCTGGAGGGGTAGAAGGGAAGGATTCCCCTGGGATTGGAACAATGACGTACTGGTGTTTATTCGTTAGTTGGTAGCCATCTTGGAGAGTTACAGTAGCCAGACCAAGCCAGATTTATGGCTTGATTTCACTACAGTAGACACTAAAAAGAGCTCGTCAAGCCGTTTCGTGTGGCTTTTTTTCTCCGCCTCCACCATTGTAAATGGAAAATAAATATATTATTATTATTATTATTATTATTATTATTATTATTATTATTATTATGTAATGTAGATTATAAGATATTAGCAAAACTACTCAATGGAAGGCTACAGCACGTAATTTGCCAATTTGTGGGTGACCATCAAACGTGTGGTATAAAGGGCAGGACGATCCAAACAAACGTTCACGTAGCCAGAAGCATTTAAAATGTTGTAGAGAAGAAGATCAAATTGGCCATGCTTCAGATTGATTTAGAAAAAGCATTTGATCGCGTACGTCATAAATTTCTTTGGGCCATTCTGCGGCTCATCAACATTGCAGATGTTATTTATGAAGGCATACGAATGGCATAGAGTGACTGTTCTAAGCGACTAATTGTAAATCGTAACGTAACTTGCAGCATTCCTGTACTGTACTCAGTACGTCAGGGTTGCCCGCTCTCGCCGTTATTATTCGCGCTTTATCTGCAGCCTTTATGCTTGAGCGTTGCTAACAACAAAAACGTTCATGGGTTTTTGCTGAACTGCATAGAAGTGAAGATATTGGCGTATGCTGATAATGTAGCATTTTTTTTTTGTACAGACAAAAAAGTGTAAGCAACGTTATTGAATTAGGTAAACACTTTTGCGACGTTACCGGTGCGGCTGTAAATTTAGAAAAATGTTCAGGTTCTTAATAGGCGCGGTACGTGGGCCACAAAGAGCTCAAAGTTTGAAGGGATCAAATGGTGTTCAACACCTACGGAATACCTTGGCGTACCACTTCAGCACATGCGTAATCCAACTGTTTACTGGTCCGAAGCCCCAGCTGAATTGAAAAAGCGGGTATCACGGTGGCCAAACCGCGACTTCTCAATTTTCGCTAGAGCAACGGCTTGTAACATATTTCTTGTTGCTAGGCTCATGTATGTGCTTCAAGTATTACATTGCGCTCAAAGTGTTATGAGGAAAGTTCATAAGATATGTGCTACATTCATCTGGAAATCAAACGAGCCAATGAGAAGAAATAACCTCTTCCGCCGTATTCCTTTGGGGGGATTAGGTTTATCGCATTTGTTTGTCCGACAGCTCACTTCGCGATTCATTTTTCTACGGGATACTGAACAGCCTTTCATGCGCGTGGTATTTCAAACAAAACTGGCCGGGCACTTGCCTTCGTTTTTGGTCTCGAATCATGGCGAGCAGCAAACAACAATTGTTGGATTCCTAAAGGAGGTCGTTGAAGCATACCATTTTCTGGCGGTGCGCTAATCCAGAGAATATTTGTCTTGCATAGCTAGAAAATCTTTATCCAACGCCCTGTATGACATTTTTTTCCCGGAGCCTTCGTATCGTGCATTTTACAACCAGGAAACCGGTCAGGATGTTCTTTGCCGCGTCAAGAGAATAGCAAACCAGCCACGTGCAAAGAGCCTTTTGGTTTTCAAACTTCATGCCTCGACGCCCCCGTGAAAGTGTGACTTCACGAGAAAGGTATTTTTGTTCCTTGGACCACCAATTGCTTGCTGTGTAAAGCCCCCAATACTATAGAGCACGTGCTTATTTTCTGTTGGGATGCCCTGTTGTTTTGGAATGTGTTGGAACCTTATAATGTTAATTGGCCTATACAGCATCCGGTGTTCACGGATGGCGGTGAGGTATGCGGACCTTAACCCGCGACCGGTTGAGGCATACTCTATAGGATTTGTGACTCAAATACGTAGTACATATGCACATCAGGACATTGTTCTTCAGTGGGTTGGGGAGTGTGAGAAACTCCTAAAGAGCCCCCGATATGCTTATTGAGATGTGCTTATCAAAAGACTGTACGCTTAGCCTGAACCTGTCTCTGTTGTGTATGTTGTAATAAAGGTTTAAAAAAAAAAAGTGATTGGTGGCCGAGTGGGTTAGTGCACACCAGCTCGGAGCAAGTGGAGCGAAAGCTCGCGCTGCAGAACCCAGAATCCTGGGTTCAATCCCCACCCCTGCCCGTTTCGATCTGGATGAGCATCGTACTGGCGTGCGGTCGTCTATCACTACTGCGTTATGCGCGTTAAAGACCCCGGGCTAGCGCCCTGGCTAAATTACTCATCTACAGCTGGGAGACTCGTCGCCCTTTGAGGCAGATCAAGTTCTAGGCTGTATAAACATACACACAACCCAATTTGTTTACTGTCGATTACACGTTATTCCAAAATAACACATTTTGCCATTGTCTTTTTTGTTTTTAATATTTTTATTCTTATCATTTTAAACACTTACACAAACCAACGCTATTGCTTTGCCAAAAGTGGCGCTATTCATCGTCGGCATTACCCGACTATGTTTCCGAACGTGCTACTTTATTTCAGCTTAAGTCCAGACGCAACCGACGCTACGAGCTGATGGGACCAATCGCACGACGCCAAAAAGGCACCATCACGGTCTTTGTGACGTTTCTGTACATGTCCTATCATCGCTGAATCAATCATAACAAAAAATCGTTCAGCCTTTCCACTCTATTGAAGAAGGAAGACCAGCGGAGCTGTACTCGATACCCTGTGTGCTTCTTTTTCGTCGTCGTCTGTTTTTCGCTGTTTCCTACGATGAATTCCCACCAACGCGCCCAACTATCCGTTCTTCTAGATGGCGGCAACCATGGAAAGGTTGCCGCCATCTACGAGCGACGGCGGAAACCATACTGGTTGTGTGCTTGCCGCCGTCGCTTGTAGATGGCGGTAGCTGCCCAGGTAGGTTTGTGTCGACGTACACGGACACGATCCTGGGGAACCTAGCCCTTAACAGCTCCGCTGCAAAATGCCCAGTGACCTGCGCTTCTGACGCTGCTTGATCGATCCCGTTAGTTGGTAGCATCGACTGCGTCTGTATTTAAGCCGAAACGAAATCTAGATGGCGCTGAAAAACTGCACACACCCTTGCGCGTCTCTTGCCGGCTATAACCAATTACGCACAGCGAATGCACCATGATCATGTGCTTTATTTTTTGTGCGTGATTTGTTTAACTGGTTATTAGTTATTTATTGATTTCTTTCGAAGGTGCTGCCGGACAACTTTTGAGGCCAAGGCATGGTGTAGGCAAAACAATAAAAAAGCCGGCAAAGCAAATAAATTCACATAAACAATCAGTAAAACAATTGCTCTAGAAGATGTTGCAAAAGAGACAGGATCCGTCACGCTGCGGGGCAACACGTAACCACCCGCACACGGTAGGCTAAAAACAAATATTTTCTTTTATAATGTTTTTTTTTTTTTTTTTGGGGGGGGGGGGGGGAGCGTGTATGTTTATACAGCCTAGAACTTAGTTTGCTTCAACAGGCCACTTGTCTCCCAGCTGTAGATGAGGAATTTAGCCAGTGCAGTACAACCGCTAGCCTGGGGTCTTTAACGCGTGCACCACGCAGTAGTGATACACGACCGCACGCCGTTACGGTGGTTTATTTAGATCGAAACGGGCAGGGGTGAAAATTTAACCCTGGATCGCTGGGTTCTGTAGCACGAATTATAACGTCTTTGCTGCAACGAAACTCGCGAATCAGTTTCTCGTGCGTCTGTCTTGTGTCACGGCTCACACTAAACTGAATGTAGACATTTCGTTATGTATTATTCTATGTAAATCTTTTAAGCGCTTTACTTTCCTTCGACATGATAACTCAGGCAGTCCAAGCTGCAACGGAAAAACATGCGATTATTTGCCAAATGAATTTTAAATGAACCTTACAGATCTTTTTTTAACCCCCTCAGCTGTTCTATATACGATTCCCAAAGAGCGGCCCATAACATGGCAGCATATAATCTAGTAAATGGACGGATTAAATGTTAACACGCCGTTAGGTTCATTTCAGAAGTGCAGAGTATCACACAGGCTTTCGCAGCGAGCACAGCTTTTTAGGCGCTTTAGCAATGGCCTGCCCAATCTGAAATGTCCTGCTTAAGTTAGTGGTAATCGTAACACCTAGATACTTGTATTCACTGACTGCTGCTAAAGCATTGTAGTTGATAGAGTAGAAGAAAAAAGCGGTACCTTCTTCAGCGTTATTGTCATTTGCAGGCATTTCTTAAAGTTCAACTTTATTTGCCCCCTTTCTAACCACAAAAAGAACAAACAAACTTAAAAGCTATTATCTAGACATTTGTGATCAGAAACGCAAGCTATTTTATAAAACAGTATACAGTCATTTGCGAAAAATCTACATTGTATCGATGGTTTATCTACCATCAGATCATTGACAAAACTTTTAAAAAAGCAATGGTCCAAGTACCGACCCTTGGGGTTCTCCAGATAGAATGGGTATTTTGATAGATTCTGAATTTCCCACAGACATGAACTGTTAACGGTTGATATTGTAAAAGTGTAACCCTTTCGGGGGCAATCATTATCTTGTACCCGCTTCAGCTCAGGCGATAACTTGCGATAGAAAACCCTGTCGATCGCCTTTGTGAAATCTAAGAAAACAGCATCACCTTGACCATCGTTATTAATTACTGTAGAAAAATTTATGAACCGTGTGGACAACTTGTGCCAGTGTCGAGTACGCTCTACGAAACCCGCATTGTTCACCTAATTAAACGCTGTAGATTCTAGAAACGTTATGACGTGTTTGAAAATGAAACGTTCAAGAACTTTACTCTATCTACTCAACAACGACACTCGTCTATGATTACAAGCACTCTTTTTCTCTTTCCTTCTCATATATAGGCACTTGTTTGGCTGCTT